TGATTAATTTTGGGAAAAATCCGAGCAAAAAAAAACCTACAGCATTTAAAAAAAATTCTTTCACACAAAAGTTCCACAGTGTTAGTGAGATTTAGAATGAGTAGTGATGATAAGAAGGAGTCGTAAAGGAGTGCATGGCACTGGATGCTACGTCATTATGTACTGTACATGGTTCATTTCACCGGGTTGGGAAGCAGTGCATGTAATGATGTTTATATACAAATGTATTTGGTTATATTATTAAAAGTATCAACGCATTCTAAACAATTGCTTAACATAATATTTGTCTTAGGGTGTTTCAATATTTGAGAAAGTTTGAAATCATTTGAAAGTACTTTGACAAAAATATGAGCAAAAATGTATTAATTCGGACGTAATTACATCCAAATATTCTTTTTTGGCCATTTTTTACACGTATGTAAAATATTACTCAAACTGACATTGCATATTTACAACTGGACACCTAAGCACCAAGAAAAGCTTTTGTTTTGGTATGGTCAGGGTTCAAATATAGCAGAAACAATACCTCAAGTGTGGATGTAACGGTGTAAAAATCACTCAATGGAAGTGTGACATTTGGGTTTACACCGTGTAAATGTTACGTCCACACAACCAAGCTATCATTTCTGCTCCATTTGATACCTGACTACCGTAACAAAAGCTTTTCTTATTGTGTTGCATGTATAGTAAGAAGTACGCAAAGTGAATTTGGGTAATGTTTCGCAGAAATTTTTTTTTTAAAAGGTACAAATGTCATATTTGGACGTAACATTGACACGGTGTCAATGTTACGTCCAAAATGACATTTTTTGCTCATATTTTTTTTCTAAATACATTGAAATGATTTCAAACTTTCTGCAGTAGTGAAACACCCAACAACAAATATTATGTAGAGCAACTGCTAGCAAGGCATTCATGCTTTTCTTAATATGGTCATATGTCACACTTTGTTCCCCAACCTGGTGGAATGACCCATATGTAAATGTCGTGAATCTAGACTGCAATTGTCGGTCTTGCATTGCAGATCTCGTGGATTCTCATTTATGTGATGGCCATGGGCTCACAGCCGTTTGTAAGCAATCCTCATCCAAACATGAAGCTATAGGTTTTGTTTTTCCTTTTGGGAAATTCAAGGAAACTGCAAACATTGCATTAATTAGCCTCCATTTAATTGATCGGCGGGAGGAAAGTCCAGCCATGGAGCTATATAAAGTAGCCCAGCCACGAAATGGAGAGTGAACCAAGTAATGACTAAACCAATGTAAACAGGATTGAAATCAATGCGTTCTGACTCACATATGTACACAACCTGGACTACATGTAAGAAATGACATCTGTTTTTATAGCCTCTGTTCTAAAAGGACCATGCATGTATTCAAAAAAGGGTGAAATATATTTTGAATAAAAGCTGGCTTTAGTTTAATGTGAGGGCAATTCCACGGTAACGGAAGGACGTTTTCACTCATTAAACAAAATTTCAAATGTGTGTATCACAGACACTGTTCATAGTTACAGCAAACAAATGTCACAATTGTATTGCTATAATGCTACCTTCAATTTCCACACTTTTGGGGGGCATGAATGCCTCCCGGTTATGAGTTATGAATATTAATGAGGTCGGTAACGGAAGGACGTTAATACGTACAAGGGTTTTCCAACTTACTCGCGTTTTGCGTAAACTCTGTGAATTTTATGGGGCAATTTTATTTTAAAGGTAGGAAATGGAAACCCTGAAGCTTTATCTATACTATACCACCTTTCATTTGACTTTAAGTGTTTCGGTAATATAATTACAACGTTTTAAGCAGATTATAATTTGGTAACGGAAGGACGGTAACGGAAGGACAAAAGGTTTACTCAATTATAGCATGAACAAAATGTGAATTTACACTAATTATACAAGTGAAACAAATTGCTGAAATGTGTAACTGAATGTGAAATCATCAATATGCAGACCTGGCATAAATAATTATACCCAAGAAACTATTGAGATAAAGATAGAAGCTGCTAATTAATGATAACAAAAGAAAAACGAAAACAACCCAAAACACATAATTCACGAACACAGGACTACTACAGAAATAGACTTCAAACCCATCACCTCAATCCTTAAAAGTTTAAATACACAGTATTTGAACTCTTGATTATAGTGGTTACATGTTCACCAACAACTTTTAATAATAATACCGGTAGGTTCAAAGGTTTAGGGTGGGGGGGGGGGGGGCGACCAGCCTACATGTACATTTAAGGTAAAAACATCTACCGGTAGAACTGATGGCTTAAGTTAGGTGTTGCTTTTAATTGAACTCTAAAATCAATGTTTGAAATCAAATTACAATGATTTAGAGTAGTAACAATTAATTTATAAACATCCAAACTGAAATTTTTAACTTGGGCATAATTTGTCAAAGATTGCACCTCACATGCCTTACACATGTAAATTGAATGAAAGTGCCCCAAAGTACCGGTACTTTCTGCCATCTCATTTTTGACTTAATTTGCTTCTGGAATGGCTTCACAGAATTTGTATCCTACTCTATTGTCCATGAATGCCGATGGCAGCAACTTAATGATTTGATTTTCTGCAACAACTCCATACATGTACAAGTACTGGTACATCGGCATATATGTACATGTACATTGTACATGTTGTACATGCCTGTGCCTTCCTTTGTAATAAACACCTTGCCCTGCTTATCCCGCTTTTGTGAAGGTGGGTCACATGAATGTCCTTTCAATGTTCATTAAACATGCATGTATTTGCAGTGATTTTCATTTTTCAAACATGAGTGCAAATGTCGTAACATTTGATAAAAATACGATTTGTCCTTCCGTTACCGTCCTTCCGTTACCAATTTGGTAACGGAAGGACGTGATTTAATTAATTGTAATTAAAAAACGAGAAGTACAACAGTGTCAGTTATAATGTCATATTGAAGGCCTACCTAAACTTGCTTTGCACAATAACTTTCATTGCATTCATACTGCAAGTTTTAAAAATAAATTAAAAATATGTATTTTTTCGGTAACGGAAGGACATTTTCGAAGGCTGAAATATTAGAAGTCACTGAAGCGAAACAAATTACGCAAAATGTTAAAAACAAGTTTTAATCATTTTTTTCAAGACCAATACTTTCTCATGACAGAAACTGATGGCATTAGTACATATTTTTGTGTGTCTATTGGTAGAATACTTTCATATCACTATTAATCACATTTGTAGGATTAAAACAGGATTATTACATAATCCTATTTTTTGGTACCGAAATGTATAAAAAATAAAATTCCGACTTCAAATCTTGAAAATATAGACTTTTAGCTTTCATTTGATGCCAAATTTGTTTAAGTCACATGTATTTGAATTTTTTGGTGTCATGTCCACTTTGGTGTGGAATTGCCCGTGACCAAAAAAGTGCTGCTAGAAGTATACTGTACCTGTAAGGTTGGGTAGTTTCTTAATTGTGAATTTTTTTTTGTATTTCGAAAACATGTTTTGTTTGTTTTTGTGTAACAAAGAAATAATTTGACTAATCTCAGGATCTTTTTATCAAGAAATATAAAGTCCTAGTCTCTGCAGAAAGTGGTCTTCCCTGTTACTGTACTTAGCCTATATGATACATTTGCAGTGGGTACTAGTCAAGCCAGATTTTTTGGCGATTGGATTTTTAATCGATCAATCTTTTTATTTGTTTAGCTAATAACTGAGTCGGGAGTGAATTCAAATACGTTCCTTACGAAGATAGTGTTTTTCCTCATAAATTTTGTTTATTTTGATTCCCCTCTTTCTAGAATTTTCAGCCAAGAAAAACAAATGAATTAGTCAAGTTTGTCAAAACTGTTTAGTATTTTGAATGAATGGAGTGCATTGTCAGAGTTTTTAGATGTCACACATGGATAATACATTTTGATTATAAACATAAATGTGTATGCATGGTAAGCCGCAATGTTTAGTCATTGTTGATTGGTCAAACTGTTGGTAATTGGGTTTCATCTTTCAATTTGATCAGTCGAAAAGAGTCTTCGAGAAAATGAAAGCTTCCTTTTGGAAGGTGCGAGAGCATGCTCCAAAAAAATTCTCAAGCCAAAAAAACCCAATACAAAACCCACAAATTATATACACAAAACTCTTTTTTAAAAGTGAATGGGACAAACGCAAGGAAAACACAAGTAGAAATGATGTCAAAACCAATGTTCTATGAAGTTGAGTTAATGAATTGCAATTGAAATACATAAATGTATCTGTTGTCCATGTCAGCTTGACGATATGATGGAACAATTGACAAATTGAACAAATTAATTGTATAGACCATTTGCATTTTGTAGCCATCTTTGAGGGCATGTTTTTTGGCTACTGTTGTTGTTATTTGATTCAGGCACGTAACTTTTCCTCGGATTTCCTCTATTTTTAACTTCCGTTGTATGCCACTAAAAATTAAAAAAAAAACACCGCAGACAATCTGGTATGCCTGTTGATTCAGTAACAAGTACATGTTAACCCTAACCGCCCTGAATCCTCCAAAATCCTTTTTGCAAATTGGAGGAATTTGCAGGATTGAGGTTACATGGCAAAAGTGCGTTGCTGATTTCGGAGTACGCACTGTCTCAAGGTCTTGGGCCGGACCTTGTGTTGTTTATGCTCAGCCGTGCATAAATTTAGTCCTTGATTATACTTGACATCCTCCGCACTGCTCCAGGATGTCACTGCCTCTGCCTCAGCCTATTGACAGACATAGCCGGAGGATTTTGCAGGATTCAGGCAGTGGTCATCCCTCCATGGACCATATTCAAGAAATAGCGGAGGAATTTGCAGGATTGAGGCTATATGCTATTTTTCCATGAGGCCAAGTGGAGGATTTTGCAGGATTGAGGCTACATCCTAGCAAAAAGGCCTAGGGAGTTAGGGTAAATAGCTGCAATGCATAAGGTCTAATCTTGCCGGCTTAAGGCATGGTTACGATAACGTCAGCTAATATTATTTTATTGCATCCTTGTATTGACAGGAGTGGTCGGCAGACATGTGAGCCATTCACCGGGCTGACGAGCCTGACCGAGCCCCCTACGGGCCCGGGCTTTGGAGTTCGTGACGACCTATAACTGCCAAAATCAACACTAGGTTTGCCATCCAGTGGTTGCCAAGGTTACCTGTATCATATCCCAACCCCTAACCTCCCGCCGGTGTTTTGGCTCTGCGGTGAAGTGTAAGATGCCCTGATGCTGTCAACAACTTCTCATTGGAGTCTAGGGCTGCATCAGTTGCTTCTAAGATGCTGAGTGCTTTTACAGGATGTCTGTCGAGAGACCAAAACTGCAGCTTTAAAGGGTCACTGGGTCCTGAAATCCCTGAAAATTTCAAGTTTTGGATTGTTTACTTAGCCTATTTCAAACATCTGGTTGAAAGGAAACCAACCTAATGTCTTACCGTTTCCGAGAAAAGACGAAAAATACCCGCTTGTTTACATCGGACACGATGGAGTACGAATACGTTTTTTGTGTCTTCTTAGTGTACGATATACACGTTGTGTGTCTCGGGAACAGCAGTGACCAATCACCAATGCAAAAAAAAGTGGTTTCTTCAACGACCGCAAAGGGCGAACACTTTACGAATGAAATCACAACTAGCACCCAAACAGCCCGAATTTATGGGGTCGCAAAAGTGGACTCCGAAATTCGTTCTTGCATGCATAATACAGGAATAACACAAAAACGCCCAGTTTTGAAAGGATAGTTGTGTGGATGTTTATATCCTACTTTTAAATGTTCTTTCCGATTAACATCATCTCGTTCAAAGCGCATTTTTGTAGCCCAATTGGGCTGTTCCAGGACCCAGTGTCCCTTTAAAGCTTTTATATGGGTGAATCCTTTGTGGTTTGTAAATAAGTTTTAAAAGAAGTGGGGAAACAACACACAGGTTAGATACTAGTGCTCCTTTAATGCCAGTGTCTATTCACTAAGGAAATCTGTTTTGATCAGAAGTCAATTTGCTCAGTCTCCATCCCATTTTCTCGGCTGCCCGTAATTCACCCAAGCACCTGTTCCCAGATGTACAGCCAGTATTCATGAAGACGTGACTGCTGGTTCGCATTAAGTTACAGAAATATGGCATTGACTCTACAGTCGATTGGGAACACCTCATCTGAGCAAGAGATATCTGAAAAAAAATACAAGCAGCTGGATTAGTAGGTTCTATCAGTGTCTGTAGGGGCATGACGGGGCCAATCCGGTTCGTTACTGTGACGTCAACTCAACTTAACCATGCGTACTTCAAACGGTGTAGCATAGCACGAATGGAACTGGACGTTAACGCAATTTGAGTGTTCAGCCAATGGTCGCTTGTAATCAGTGGTGCGTGTGCCTGTATGACAAAGTCACAAACGAACCGGATATCAAGATAATTCCCTCTAAATCGCCAACCACCTTCTTCTTTTTTTGCTGTTATAGAAGTGCAGTTTCCTCATTAAATTTATTCGTAATGTATAAATTTACTATACCTTTTCTCAATAAGTCCAACAAGCCTGTAAGGTTCCTTTAAATCAGGTGTCTGTGTTGGTTTTGGTTACCTACTATGTACACTGTACTGCTAAATTTGATTTAAGTCCCCCCCCCCCCACCTCGCTCTGTTACACTGTCTGCACTCATACCGTCCCATTCTTTTAAAATAGCCCCCTTTCGTAATACATCCCGGCACTCAATGATAAATGAAACCCAAAATGTTTTAGAGAGAAGCCTAATTGAGAAACTACACAGACCCTTCTAGCGTAGGCAAACAGTGCAAGTTGATTTTATTTTTACAACGAGTACCGACTCTTTCTCAGACACCAGAGCAAACAGAGCTCAGAGCAGCACTTTTAATGGATCCATCAGTCTCTTGCCGGTGGTAAACGCCTTACAATTTGTAACCAACTTACAATGTTTAACCGCATCCTAGTTGCTCTGTGATAAATACTTACGAATCTAACCAACAGAATGCATTCACTAATTGCTTTTATTGGAGGAAAACATTTCTTTAGAGAGTTTCATCTTGTCAGTACATTAAGGGCTGTGGCGTTCAAGATCTAAATGTCCGATTGGAGAGAAGAAGACATGCCATTAATTTTAAAGAAATTGCAGGGAACTTAATGTAGATAAATGATGTTAACTTAATTTCCACGAAGATTTTAGGTCACGGTGGTCTTTTCACCGCCAAATCGCATGTTTCCCTTGTTTGAATATTTGTCTTTATTGTTTGAGTTGCTAGACATTTTTTGGAATATAATTGGAGGCTTAGCTGGTGGAGAGAAAGATAAGATGAACTGTGTAGAAGCACCTTGTGAAGTGGCTGTCTTTAAAAGAAGATGTTTTGGTCAGCGCTCTCTGACTTTCTTCAGAAGTTTTTGAGCTTACTTGGTCGGAGTATACTGACCAGAAACATCCAGAAAACACCTCTGGAACTTTTCAGAACCACCCCTCCTTTTATAAGAGTTAATCATTTTTTATGGTGTTTCTACAAATATTAATCAATTTTCAACAAGTGAACGAACCAATAAATGTGTGCTTCTTATTAAGCCTGCTTCTTATTAAAACTCTGTTATCCAGTCCACTCAAGACTTAATAGTTATATTCTTCTCATATGTTATTTATTGTATAAAAACCACATGAGGACAGTTAGCTGTTAGCGTGATATAGAATCGGTAACACATTTTGAAAGCCCTTGACCCTTTTCGAAGGTACAACACCATGAATCCACACTAGTATAATGACACATCAAACAGATGTTGATAGAACAATGAATGCACTGTGGGAATATTCTTCACTTAATCTGCTATGAACACCTGCTCTTTATAGAGCTGTGAAATGATTTTTCTACGCCTCCGTTTCTGTGATCGTTAATGCAACACTTGCATGAAAATCGTATTTGCTCAACAAAGACTATCCTTGGATAATTATAATATCAGTTTCTCTTGAGTGATTAAGTGAAATTCTAATTAATTTTTTAAAAACATAAACCAATGCTTAATGATGTTTTGGATGCATCATGTTGTTGGTCTAATTTTGTCAGTCTAATTTTTAGTGTTCAATAATTTGATATACAAAGTGAGTGAAAAAAAGAAAGAAATCTAATGTCGGGACCATTGTTTTAGTGAATTTCTGCATTTAGCTTTTTCAAAATCTATGATATGAAAGCCCAATTCGTAAGCTTTCTTTTAGTACAAGAATCATTGAAATCACTCGTGTAATTTTCAAGTTATGGAATTTTAAACACAACCACCGTTTTAAAGTTCTGTCCACGGATCACAAAAAGGTAAGTGTTCTTTCAGCAAATCGAAAACAAATCACATAGGGATGTGTGTGAATTGTTTTCGTTTTGCTGTAAGAACGCACGCCTTTTTTGTGCAGAACTTCACTAAAACAATAGTCCCGACATTTGGGTTTCGTGTTTTTTTTTAGTTACCCTGTACTTCTTGATACAATTTCCACTCCACGTGTTATTCACAGTAACAAATTGTCCTATGGTCTGCTACTACCCCGCCTGACAATGGTCTTTCCTCTAATTGTCTACATGTTAATTACATACAGGTACCCATTATCACGGCTTTCTAGGAAGCGATAACAGGATGATATGACCATCTTCAGACACCCTTACTAATCAATAAATTAAAGAGGTGTTTGGTTGAGGTACATAATCACAGGCTTGGCAAGTGATCGTGTGGATCCTGAATCGAACACCACCTGGTCTATCTGCTCATGATGATGACATCAGACATGAGTCATAGGAAGATGTGATTCAAAAGATGTGGAACCAGTAAGTTGCTCTCTGGAAGTCAATGCCTACATGAAAATGCATATTGTTTTTAACTCGGTAGCAAGTTGGTAGAGTGCCTGTGCGTGTCCATTGATCCGGAGGTCGCAGGTTCAAGTCCCACTTCACCCAGTTTCTTCATTCAACCTGGTCGGTTTGCTCTGTGGTTTATTATAAGATGATGGTTTAAACTGAAATGAACACCAGAATGTCTAAGTCTTGATGGAATAATGCTAGACGATGTTAATGTAGTCACAAGGTGATGGGTTTTGTGGGCCGGTTGGGTTGGGTTGGGTTATGTTGGGTTGGGTTGAGATGGTTTGGATTGGGTTGACCTGGGTTATAATGGGTTGGGTTGGGTTGAGATGGTTTGGATTGGGTTGACCTGGGTTATAATGGGTTGGGTTGGGTTGAGATGGTTTGGATTGGGTTGACCTGGGTTATAATGGGTTGGGTTGGGTTGAGATGGTTTGGCTTGGGCTAAATGGGCTGAGTTGAGGTGGGTTCAATTAGGTAGGGTAAGGGGTAAGGCTGGGTTGGGGATGGGTTTGGTTCGACTTCACTGCATTGGGTGCTGCTGAATTGGATTGCACTCGGCTTGGTTTGGTGGGTAGGTGTGGGTTTGGATTGGGATTAATTGAATTTGGTTGAGCTTGATTTGGTTAGGTTTGTCTGTGCTTGGTTTTGCTTGGCTTTAATTGAGTTTGATCAGATTGGGCAGGGTAGGAACGTGTTGAGTCGTATTCGGTATGGCTGGGCTTAATTTGATTGGGATGGGCTATAGGTTTGGTTGGATGAGTGTTGAAGTATATACACTACGATTCTAATGTTATTAGAACTGTACACATGTACATGTAAATGCATGATTGCTGCCGTTGTGTGCTCGCTTTGTGGGTAAGGAGACCCACTTGTATACGTGCATGGGTTTCACTAAATGAACAGCATCATTCAAGGTACGCGTCGAATCATTAATGCTGTACAGCCATCTCAATTCATAACTGACACCATATCATGGCTGTACAGAATGAATGAGAAGTGCCGAAATGGACAAGTGACCATACAGGAAGGCTCTGGGTGTGTATTGCATCTTCAAGCACCGTCCATCCAAACTCCACTTGCCACCTTGGCCAGATGGTCTCCGGGTCGAGCGAGGCGACCTCTTCACTGCAATTAAGTCGGACCGTGCAGGAATAATTACCTTTCTGTAGACACAAGCTGCGAGTAAACATGCGATTCCAATTGGATCGCAATAAGTAGCCCGATGGACAAGAAATGCGGATGCTCTCTTGAAATTCTGAAGTCAAATTTGGAAACAGTTTTGTGTGTTCTACACATCTCTATGATTTGCCTGTCTAGATTCGAAATTAGAAACGTCATATAGTTAGAAAAAAGGCCAATTTGATTTGCAATACCCTTCAGCTTGCCAATAATCACATGTCGTCGGCCTTGTTTGCTTACTATGCCCATGGAGCTATCAATGCCCATACTTTCGCGCGGTACTTTTTAAGCCAAAAAGATAATAGCAATTTACTCGTGATTCCGCCTGCACATCACATTTGATAATCAAATGGCAGTAGTCAACATTTTTAAACTTGAGTTTTGGGAAGCCAGTTTTTTTTTCATGGAGGAATAAGTAGATCGTATTACCTGATGT